ATACTCAGCAGTACTTCCAAGAAGCCTCAACTGTATAGAGTCGTAACAATTAGGGATTCTAACAGCTTGAGATTGGAAATACAATCAAACATTTTCCTTTTGGAGCAACTGAGCCACCGCAGGGAACCCATCCTCTAACGCTGTCCCGACCTGTTGAAGACTAGAAACTCCACAAGCGACCTTGCACTCCATTTGCTTGTAACTTCTGGGAATCAATACATTCGAGTCTATGCTTTGTCCTAGCTTCTGGGAAATAAACTCCACGGGGTTTGGACATGGAGGAGGCGGCAAGCGACAGAGGAGGTGGTGGTTGGGTAGCGGAAGAGAAGGATGAAGTTTAGGGTATGAAGAGAGAGAGAGAGTCACGATCGCACCTCTGAGAGAGAGAGTCACGCTCTCTAGTCCGGGTAACCCATCAAAAATGGGTTTTAAAAATTCTTTATACGTGTGATGAAATTTTATTGAACACGTCACTATCAGAAGGAAGTTCCTCCTGATATGGCCTGAGGCAAGTATTGTGATTTTTGTCATTCTACTTCTAGTTTTTAAGCCGTGTGACTTTTAAGTGGGTCATGTGGCCATTTAAGGGTTGTATCATCATTTTTAGCATCTTTTAGCCTGTTGGACAGAATAGTAGCTCTCAGATTTTATTTATATGAAGGGTTAGGATTGAATCTTTGCTAGGGCATCCCTTGTGGCTTATAAGGGCTGTACCAAGATGTATTCATCAGCTTTTTGGGTATTATCAATATATTTAGCCTGCTACAACAGCTTTCTACCTCTCCCTTTCTTTTGGGATTGAGTTGTGGGTGTTTAAACTTGATGCGGGATATAATTCTGAACAGTTAGAAGAGTTCGTTTTCGACCCAAAAATAGCGTTTTGTTTGGGTGGAAACGGCCCATTGAGAAAGACCCACTAGCTTTAAGTTTGTGGGCCATGTTGGTATTTGGCTGAAAACCCTCGTTTAGGGCTCCGAAATCGCGTTTTATTGTGTTATAGGAGGTCCGCTGATTATTTCAAAAAATTTGTTCGAGGCCTTAACGAAGTCGGAATGCTCTATATTTAATACTTTTATTTGATTAGGTTTCTTTATCTATTTTTCCAGAATTTTTAGAGAAAAAATTATTTTTTAGGCTTATTTCTAGGATTAGTTTCCTTATGTTTTTAGTTTCCTTCTAGCATTAGGTTTTCTTTCATTATAAATATATGTAATGGAGAAAGCAGAATCATTCAACCTTTTTATCAATAATATTTCAAAATTCTTTATGAATTTTTCTTTTAGTTTGTGGATTCAAACTACCTATCTTGTGGAAGATAACCCTCACTCCTTGTGAACATTCTATCGCTTTCCGCTACGTCAGTTGGTATCAGAGCCTTGATTTACCCTGGGCTGATGACGATTGCTCGTTTTGGTAACACCCAGTTTGTCGACGATGATCGCAAAGTGAAGGCCCATTGGCAACCACACATACTCAAGATCGGTTCGTAGCAACTGGTTTTGGAATTTGTGGCAACCAGGTTCGTGGTTCAGTTCGAATTCGCGCTGATGATGTGTCCCGCAGCCAACCAAATATGAATTATGTTCTCGTTTATCTACGTCGGTCTCCAGCCTATGCGGATTATTCAGATGATGAGGAGTTCGGATTCAGTGATCGAGGTGGTCACGATAGAAAGCGTAGATATCTGGACAATCATGAATTTCAGGTAAAAGTTGATTTACTTACTTTCCATGGAAGTATTATTATTGAAGATGTCTTAGACTAGCTTGAAGAAGTTGAAGAATTTTTCGACTGAAGCAAACAAAAAAAAATTCTTGGTCATCTGATTTCCAGTAGAGAGAGAAGGTTTTGCTCAGAGAGGGAGCTTGCCTCATTTTGGGCTTTATCTCATCTTTTAGTTTGTGTGTGTGTGTGTGTCTGTTTATTTATTTATTTTGTTCCTAAACAGCCATTTATTTGGGTGAGAGATATATTTGTCTCAAATCCCTAGAGATGTTTGATCATGTGGCTCAAAAGGGAGACCTCAAGAGTATCCTCGTGAGGGCGACTGAAGCAAACAAAAAAAGAAACAAGTCTTCTTACAACAGTAAGAAAGACTAGGGTTACTCCAATCACTGTCGGAACCTAGATTTCTAAAGGGAAATCTGGGGAAAGCCTTAGAGAAGTGAAAACTCTGATAATATATCAAACTTATATTGATTAGGACTTGAATACAACAGATATAGAGGTCTGTCCTTTTATAATAAGACCATTAATGACACTTACTTTCCCTAGAATGACTTTCTAAATACCCACAAAGCTTTAATGACAACTTCTGTTATTCCCAGGACATTTTCAGATTTCCCATATCATAATTACTACTTTACCACGATCATTGCACCCTTTCTTTCTTCTTTTCCTTACTCGAACAAAACACACTAATCTGCCGTTACAGATAAAGAATCTGATTTTCAGATCTCTCTTTAGAAATTCAGTAGATTTCCAACCCATGCTTGAACACAAATCAGGAGCCAAGTCCTGAATTAATTTGATTTTCACATTGGAACAACACCTGATTAAATGTTGCGCCAAGAATTCATCCCAAATCAGATCACGGTATGAAATTCATGATTTCTCAGCTCCAAGAACAAAGAAGAATCATTTATAACCAAATTATGCCAGTAAACTCCATCTGCCGTAGTGTCTAATGCACCAGTTACCGTTGAAAATCCAATGGTCTTATATTCAAAAGTTCCACCTATTTGTTTGTTGACGAAAATAAACTCTGAAATTTCTACAACTTGGGAATCATCTGGAGACACTTCCTTCAATTTCTTCAATAGTTCCCACTTTCTCACCTCAAATCCACGATATGCAGACTGAATAATGATAGCTGCCTCAAGTTTCTGACAAGTTCTCGGCTGCTTCTTCAGACTTTCCTCTTATGCTTTAACTGTCTCTTCAAATTCCTCTCCATTGTTGTCAAATTTTGGAAGGGAGGAAGTTAAATGTACCACCAAGATCTCATCCATTTCGTCTAAACATTCGAAAGAATTATCAAAGGTTGAGCTGGCATCCAGTTCACAATATCTTCTGGAATCAAGAATTGATTTTATCGATAATGTGACTGTTTAGCAGACTTGAATCTTGAATCCTCATATGTGTAGGACCAAAATTCAGGATCCTTTGTACGTTTAACCATTGATGTCCATGTGTTTTGTGATTTGGCAGCTCTTTGTTTTGGATTTCCAGACTGCTTATGTTGATGATTTCTTTCTTCAGTAGTCTGTTCTGTCCAATATTTGAATTCATATGCATCCATTTGTTGAGCCCTTTGTCTCCCAATGTCCATATTAAGAGGAAAAATGATCCCATATTGTTCTAATATAGTGCTCGAGAAATTTGACCCAAAATTTGATGCTGCAATTTTTTAACGTCTTCTTTTGTGGCTATCTTGCTTCCTTGCCTGGTGTAACAAGGGTAATTTGTCCCACATCGGATCTGGACGGGAAAGTGATTGGGTATAAATGGCTGGATAAATGGGCAAGCGTCCACCCGTTACAGTTAGTATCAGACCTAATCCTTAATCCGGTGTCACGCCAAATGCCCGGCCCGGAGGGCGTCCGGGTTTGCAGCCCGGGTAGGCAAAATGGTCCGAGCCGCAACGAGGACATTGCGAATTTGGGTGGGGAAGAATGTAACAAGGGTTATTTGTCCCACATCGGATCCGGATAGGAAAGTGATTTAAGCATAAATTGGTGGGTATGCAGCACTACCCAACAGCTTGAATTTTTTTGTAAATGGGCAAGCGTCCACCCGTTACACCTAGCCATATATCTGCAATAACCACAGATCTGAAGGAAAGGCTCTGATACCACTTGAAGCAAATAGAAAAAAGAAAGAAGTCTTCCTAGGTTCTAAAAGGAAATCTGGGAAAAGCCTAAAGAGAAGTTTAAAATCTGATGATAACTCAATTTGATATTTACAACTATAAAGAGGTTGTCCCTTTTATAAGCCAACTATTAATGACACTACTTTTTCCTAGACTGGCTTTTAGACTACCAAAAAAGCATTAAAGACAACTCCCACCATTCCCATGACATTTTCAGACTTCCCATACCATAACTACTATTTAATTGTCTTTCACTAAGCACTTTTCAAGACACTATTGACTGCCTCAATTTGACTAGAGATACTATTAATTATTTGCATCAGCGACCCCTTTGTAGCCTTACTCAAAAAAATAATATCACCTTCCGTGTGCATATAAATTATTTACCGAGACATGTAACCCACCAGTTTTTACCAATAAGTTCAATGACTTCATAGATTAGTAATATTATTACCATATTAAGCAGTTAGCAACTTAGCACACAGGAATTAGCATATCTGACTTTTGTCATCCAGAGGCACACTGTCTGATGCCTTCTTAAAGGAACTGATCAAGAGCCAGCACTCAATCAAAGACAGGTGCTCAGGGTTGGCTACAAGAATTTTATTTCATCATTCCAACTCTACCATGGCCATACAGCCATACTTCATATTAATGTGTATGTGAACATATCTCTCAACCAACATTTTTCAGCAGTACCCTCATGCAAGCAACTTTAACACAGACCATATCACCCTTTCTCCCTATTGCATTTACCAACCAAACGATTTGCAAGCAACTTTAAGTTTTTAACATAGACCATATCACCCTTTCTCCCTATTGCAGTTACCAGCCAAACCATCTTTAAAAAATTTCTTCCGTTGTTTTGAGGAAGTTCAAAGCATCGACATCACATGGTTGTTTAACCCAGTTCCTACTCAAACTCCGAATACTTTGGGCTTAAATTTAACAAGTTTAATAAGTCTAGGAAAACAATCAAAATGACAGGACACCACTTTATTGAGTAAGAAATAGACTATCAGACCATATGCAAATCCAAGTAATAATAACATGTATAACCATCTCAACTTAACAAAGTCTTTTCCCAACTCTAACATGTATAACACGGGAAAAAAATTAAACTGAATACCGGTGCAGGTACAAGAGATTCATCTTGAATACTCAACATCTGCCCTAATTTGAGTGCTGCTCCACGCATTCTACATAATGCAAGAGCCAAACGTTCTGCATTTTTTTCAGATAAGTAGGGAGAAAAAGCAGATTGCTTGTCTTGTGAGTTAGGCATACCAAAGACAAGCCTCTTGGCAGACTCCTGAATTGTTCCCCATGCAAGGCCAGCTCCCAGGCCAGCGAACCTTCAAAATAAGTTCAAGGTTAAGCAAAAATTCTGTCATAAGAATGAAAATGCAATTCATAACAAATTTCCCCCAACAACTGTCAGATTCTGAATACCGCATCTAATGCTTTGACTAAATTTTTAAAGCATCTGATAGAAGATGCAATTTACGAAGAGAATACAATGAGAGTCTGAGTGAGACATGTTCTGTTCTGGGAAAGAAAGGATTATCAAAAAAATTATGTTGGCATGAGTGAGACGTGTATGATGCAGCTGTAAGTAGTGTGAGCACAACTACAGACACGAATAAAATTTCCAGCCACCAATAACTTAGATCAAATGTGAGCTCTGCTAGGAGTATTGCAAGATGCTTTGACTTTCTGGAATGTAATAAGTAGAAGCTGGAGAGATGATAAATGGGTAAGAAATTTCCAACAGTGACCATTTATGTAAATTCACTTCTATCATCCATAACGTTGGCTAGAATACTACAGGATTTATAAAATATCACAAATAACTGTGGATATGTTGAGTTTTCCACCATTGAAGTATCTCCTAGTCATCATACATGGGAAGTTGAGATTTCAAGTCCCCGCTTCTAATTTTTTTGGGAAAAAGTCTATTTCAAGAGAGGGAGCAGAGAATTGGATGTGTGCTTTTAATTGAAATTTTTATTTCATATTAGTCTATAGTCTATAGTCTATAATTTTTATTTCATACGAATGTGAATAGAAATAAACAAGTAGAACATGCATGAGATATTAACAACAAATGAAAATAGTAAAAATAAAACTGAAGAGGATGGGGTCACTCACCCAAGGGCTCTAGAAAACGGAGTAGAAGGAACTCTCCTCTCCCTTGGGCGCCTCCTCTGTGTGGGAGGATTGAGAGGAGGAGCAGGTGGATTCTGGGAATCATATTCACTGGACAATAAACCATTGTGTTTCTGTGCTGCACTGTCCAAATCGATTTTGTGTGCGGAGGAGGGTGAAGGTACCTGGCTGAGATTTAAAATTTCAGCACTACCTTCATTCGATCCAGAAGAAGATGATGAAAGTGATAAGGAGGGTTGTTCAGCTGGTTGAAAGGGTGGTGTGGGGGACTCATCGGCAAAGTAGACGACGGTGATGGATTCTTTATCATGATGATGATGATGATGTGGAGGAGGAGGAGGAGTTGAGAACTGTTGAAGCTTGCCTCTGGTGAGTCCGGATACATCTGTGGCGGAGATGAGGGCTTTCTTGAGAGAGGAGGTAATTAGGGATTGTAAGTCTCCATTGTGGGCGCCCTTCAAAATGTTTTCTTGGGAGCGTTTCACCAACTCCTTGGCGATGAGAGAGAGGCCATTGGCGAGCCTTCCTATGTCCCTCGTCCTCAATGAAGAAGAAGAAGCCATCAATTTCACTTAGATTTTAAACAACCACACCACGACCACGATCTATGATATATATACTACGAACAATAACGCCCATCTATCTATTCATTCTATCCGTCTGTTGCACAATACGAGACGTTTCTGAGGAGGATGAGGAGATCTGACGCGAGTTTTTCTCTCTCCAAACCACCGTCGGTCGGTCGGTCGGTCTGTTGTTACGGACATAGGAAAAGGAACGACGGTGCTGCTCGAGTTGAATAATCAACGCATCATCTTCGAGAATTCCGCACATCAACTCGCCCGAACAAATAAAAGCCCAACAGCTCATTCATCACCCAACCGTATGCCCTTCAGCCCATAGCTTTTCTCGTCCTTGTGGATGCGCTCTCTCCCTAGCCCATAGCAACTCGATGTCTCTACGCCTGTTGGCTGACTGTGGCCCATTCAAGATAGAAATATAGAGGATGTTGTACTTGGGCCAAGACCGAAACGCATTAGAAAACAAAGTAGGATTCATATGATGATAGACGGATGTACTTGGGCCACAATTAAACCATATATTGGTATGATGATTCACCATTTCCATATATTGTTAGGGTACATTCCTATAAGATGCAGGGATAAGCACATAAAATAATCTTAAAATATATTTTACGTGTTATTTTTATTTTTATTTTTATTTTAAAAAGTGTGTAAAAAATATCCTTAATCTTTTCACATTGTGCAAAAATACCTCTCAATCAGAAATTTGACATAAATTAGTATTATAATACCCGTTTTACCCTTTTTCTCTTCCGAAAATGTCCAATAGGATATGCATGTTACTAATATCATAGTACAGGGGTGTTATGTGCACATTACCTTATATTTTTAAAAAAAAAAAAAAAAAAAAAAAAAAAAATTTGAAAATTTGTACAATACGGATTTGAATTTTTTGAGATTTCATTTTACTATTTTCTATTTTATATTTTTTTTCCTTTTTTTATTTTTTTCTGTACCAACATTGTTAAACAAAAAAGAAAAGAAAAAAATCCCAATATCAAGCAAATTTCTTTTATTTAGCTTGCACTTTATTTTCGTTTTTTATTTTCTATTTTTATCTTTATTTTTCTTTTATATTTTTATTTTCTATTTTTATCTTTATTTGTCCATTGTCGGCGTCCTTCAATAGTGTCTTTTTCGGTCATTTTATAAAATGATTTATTTTTATATATTTTATAAAATAGTTCAGTAAGGGTAATTTAGTCAATTTAGAGTTTAAATTTGTAAGAGGTTTGCACCAAATTAAAACTTTAGGGATATTTTTTACACGTGAAGGGCGTCCTCCAATTGTGTCATTTTCCGTCATTTTACAAAATTATTTATTTTTATATATTTTATAAAACGGTTCAAGGTAATTTAGTCAACTTAGGGTTTAAATTTGTCAGATAGGCATATTTGCACTAAATTAAAACTTTAGGAGTGTTTTTATTAGCACATGAGCAGTGTGATATGCACTGTAAGTATATTTTATGAATGTTTTCTGCATTGACCCTAACATGTATCACACCCCTTCATGTGCATAATAAGTCATTGTGACACATTTATGTTAAAATTTATCTAAATTATCCTTATATACACATTAATATTATTTAAAAATACATATTTTGTGAAATGGACCTACCTCCATTATGATTATATTCCACACGCATGCAGTAGATACGTGTGTGTAATATTCCTTTATACAAAGAAAATAAAAGGAAAGAATAATCCTCATCATCAAATCCTTGGGTATCAAAAACTGAAAAGCAAATATTCTTCGAAAACGCATTAGTTCTTCACGCAAGTATTCGATCTTCTCCTCCTCAACAATATCGATCCTTGGTTCTCACAATGAACGAATTAAGTATATAACAATCCATATATACACATATCCGGTCAATGTATGAATTAATTGATTAATTTATACAACTTAATTATTTCTTTATACATATTTTCTATTTAATTTACTATGACTATGTTCAACTGGAACTGGAATTAGAATCAGTAAAGAAAAATTAAAAGCACTTGATATCGAAAACGACTAGTAACATAAATTCTCTCAATTAACGTCAGGACAAGTATATCTATGCGCATCCACTTATCACAAGTAGCTAGCCAAGTGTCACTAAAAATATTCCTCTGGAAAATGAAAAAGAAAATCTATATATATATATATGGAGCTGGGGTACTCGTACATCTCCCTCTGAAACAATTCATATAAATAGGTCCTCCGGCCAACTGCTAGCTAGGTCGTGCAGCGAAGTCCTAATAAAATTAGTCCTATCTATATATAATTAGGTAATCTTTCATATTGCATTTGCATGCATGGCCTAATGACGTTGAAGTTTTGCATTTACTATTTCGGGGCCTCTCCCTTCCTTTATTATTATATATATGTATGTATATTTACATTTTTTCCTCTTTAATTATCAATAGTAAGAATCCGATTTTAACATTAATTCTTCCTTTTAGATAGTATGCCAGCTACCCACTGCCTAACAATGACATTTACTTTGTAAGTTCTTAAATTGTTATCAGTACCCCATGCATACACCCCAACCTGTCCTTTACTTTCTTGGTTCTTCTAAACCGGCCCCTTCAATTCCATCCATATATAACAATTTCTTTTCATACGAAAAAAAAAAAAAACGTGTGATCGTAATTGGTCATCAATTCCCAAATAAAAGAAAACTTAATATATGAATTAGTTTATAAATTTAAAATGAGGAGAACATCAAAAAGCAAAAAGTTTCTTTGAACATTAATCCTCTCTCGTTTCTTGGCTTGACATGTTAATTTTTCCTTTCTCGATTTGTAAAACTGATATGATTGGTTCTTGCCGCAGGTATAGTATTGAAGATGGATGCTGGAGGAAGATATGGTGGAACCAAGTATCAGTGCTTGCTCTTTGGTACGGCATAAGTTATAAAAACTTAACTAACAATTGGATTCTATATATATATATAGCCTCTTTTTCAGAGAAAAAACGTCGATGCAATTGTGATATAATATTATTGCATGTCGTCACATGCCATACAAGGGTTTATGTATTAAGTGGACCTTTATATGTTTGTATGATAAGTTTTATTTCGATGATGATACATGTTACAAATCTATGCTAGCAAGTGAAGGTAGAGTACGTACCAAAAGGGGAGCTAGCTAGCATCATTTTCCTTGGCAAAATGATTCCATTACCAAGATAAAATAGCTGCACTTCCATCTATCCACCAATAGAATAGAAAGGTAGTCGCCATATTGGACGGTTTTCCTCTTCTTAATTAGTTGGTAATAGTTATTTAAAATTAATAAAGGAAAAAAAAAAAAAAAAATACACATGACGGATCCAGAAAGTCGTGTGGGGGCAAAAGTGAATTTCTTTTTTGTAATTTCAGGATGCTAGAATGCTAGATAGTTGAAAAAAGGAAAAAGTAGTAGTATATAATAGTTAAAATAAATAAAAAAAATCGATGGGGTTATGAGTTGGATCTGTCCCTGTGCATATCTAATGATTTTGTTCTTAATTACCCTTGTAGTAAATATAAAAATTAATCATATGATAGGTACAAATATTACAATTTTAAATCTATGATTAAAAATGAGCATGAGGATTTAAATATATTATATTTTGACTTAATATTGCATAGTGCTTTACCTTTCAAAAGGAGAAATAAAAATGGTTCTCCTTCAATATATTGCCAAAATATCACTACGTACATTGAAAGAATTGGTTATTCATTTTACGGGTTTTTGACTTGTAATTAATGACTCAGATATGGATGATACTCTGTACCCTATGAGCTCGGGTATCAACTTGGCTTGTCGCAGGAACATAGAAGGTATATATATACATGAATTACTATATATACAATGACGATTACAAGAATTACGGGCCATTTTTTCAATTTTTTCGTTCATGGCTTCAGACTTCATGTTGAGGCACTTGCATATTGATGAAAATGAAGTTCCCCGGATGTGTCTCGAATTGTACAGGGAATACGGGACGACCATGGCCGGTCTAAAGGTGAAACACGTACTTGATTAATTTGTTCCTCACCAGCTATAGATATAGATATAGAGATATATATTATATATATATAAGATATATATATATATATAATATATTTGCATATAATTAAGTACGCTCCATCTCTCCTTTCAGGCTCTTGGTTACCAATTTGACAATGATCAGTTTCACGCTTTTGTTCATGGAAAATTACCATACGAGGCTCTGAAACCGGATCCCGTGCTAAGGAATCTTTTACTTTCTATGCCACAGCGAAAAATAGTACGTATGATCACCAAAATCGGTTTCCTTACAATTAATATTAGGTAACAAATAGTAATACATTCTTATGCTTTCAGGGGAAAAAAAGTAACATTCTTATATTTTGTCAACTGGTCTGATCACCTTTCTTCACTGCAATAAGAAATGACCATTTAATTTAAACTTTTTTTTATAATTTCAAAATAATGCAGGTTAAAATAAAAACAAAAGCTTTTCAAAACAATATATGATCTTTTAATTAATCACCAGTATAGTGCATGGTTGCGTATATTTCTAATTAAAATGTGATCAGATCTTCACTAATGCGGACAAAGAGCATGCAGCACAAGTCCTCAAAAGGTTGGGGTTGGAAGATTGTTTTGAAGGTGTCATATGCTTTGAGACTCTTAACCCCGCCACTACTACTCTTCCTGAACCGGTAGACTACATATCGATGAATGGTACTAGTAGTATTGGCAATGCAGCAGTCATCCCAAAAGGACTTGAAATGAATCAGGCCGACAGTATTACCGATACTGATCAGATCAGTTATATTGATAGATTTAGCTCCAAATCGCCAATTCTCTGTAAACCGTCAGTGCAAGCAATTCAAGCTGCTATTAAAATTGCAAACGTTGACCCAAATAAAACAGTAAGTACGCGCGCAGTATTGAAGCTTGATCGTCTTGAAACTATTATTAGTACTGTTTGCTACCTTTGATTAATTATTCTATTGTATTTATTAAGTACGGAAATGAACATAATATCTGGGGATTCTTTTCTTCCTGTATTAGGTTTTCTTCGATGACAGTGCTCGAAATATTGCCAGTGGGAAAGCAGCGGGACTTCATACAGTCATTGTAATTTACCAATATCCAGCCTTTATCCTAAAAAAATAAAAAATCATATCCATGTCATGATAATTTTTAGTAGGATCATTTATCTATCTCATTTTGCCACAAGAATATCAAATATCTATCTCGATCACTTTGCCACATAATTCTTGTGGTCTTGTCAATTTTCATATTCTTTTAAAGTGTGCTTTAACCGGCCACTTGGTCTATATCCTCAAATGTTAATGGAAAATGTACGCAAAAGAGGACTCAGTCTGACCAGTCTAAAGAAAATTTCAGATGGTTTCTCTGTATTTAATTTAAATTACGGAGCGTTGTAGAGGTCATCCCACAACATTCTACATTTGTGGACTCGATCGGAACTACGTACTCACATTATATTATCATTGCACTAATATATATATATATATATATATATATATATATATATATATATTCTTTACAATAATGCAAATCTAATAGTCCAGTGTCGTTGGCAGGTAGGGAGCACCACACTGGTAGCTGGCGCAGACCATGCTTTGAGTAGCATCCACAATATCAAAGAAGCACTACCTGAAATATGGGAAGGTGAAGAAAAAAGAGGAGAAGAAGAAGAGGAGGAACAGCATAAGCAAGTCATCCGTTCCACCGCAGTTGAAACTATAGTCATTGCATAGGTTCCCCGTCCAATATAAAATTCATAGCATATATAGTGAGTAGTGCATTGTGAGATGGAGTAAACGTGGGGAAGTTGAAAGCATTGTTGTACGTTGTTGCATGTTGTTATTTTTTTCTTTCTTCTTAGAGTTACGAAAGCTTTGTTGAGTTGAGCGGATATCATGTACTGGGGAATCCATGCATGTTTATGATTGCATTCACCCTGAAAATAATACATATATCGAACTCATGGCATATGAGCTAATAAAACGCCACTTTTAATTTATGTCCGTTAATTGACATGAAATCACATAAATGACTAGGTTATAAATTAAATGACGCTAGACTGATACATTCTGTTAAATTATGTTGCCCAACCCTTGCTAATCTCTATGTGAGAAACAAAAGTGTTATGATTTCAGATGAAAAAATTGTCAAAATATAGTTCTCACTATTTGTTAAATGAAAATTTGTACAGCTACTCATTGTAGCATATTAAGTTATTAAATTTCTCTATTCTATTCTTAATAATCATGTTTTATTAAAATGTGCGGGATTTGTTTTAGTTAAAATTAACTTTTCTCAAAGTGGAAATACTCAAAAAAATAATAATAATTCAAAATTAAATTTTTAGAAAATTGAAACAATTGTTGGAGGAAAATGGATTTTTAATAATGGTTTTTCCTTACCACTTCTCTTATTACATGTAAGATGTAACTTCTTATTATTTTCTCTATTCTGTGTTTTCTTTTTCATATCAATTTTCTATCTCTAATTATTTCAATTGTATTTTTCTAATTTCTTTAATTGTATTTTCTTAAATACATATATAAAAAGACTAAGATTGTAAAAAAAATTATATTCAATTGATTTATAATTTTTTAAGATTTCAATTACACAATTCTAGTTCCCGGACAATAATTGTCTAGGTACTCAGTGGTGAATAAGGACAATACTCACCAATGAGTAACAATAATTTTTCCCTATCACTGATGTAGTGCAAAATTAAAGTAACGCGGTGTCCTTACAATATAAATAAATAAATAAACAAAAATAAAAAAAATAAATCATACTGACCTCCCTAAAGTTTATCATAATTATCCAGACCTCCCCTAAAAGTGAACATTGTAACACGAACCTCTCTTGTCAATAATGGACCATCACCGGAGCTAACATTGTGAGTTGCGCTATACGAAATGGATGTGAAAGTTTGTATTAAAATAACCTAGATGGGTGAATAAGTTTTACTTGCTACTTCATTCAATTTTTACTTATTTCAATTTTACCGAAATAAAACTAAAATCAAACTCACAAAGCAAAAATAAAGTAAATAGAATTTGAGAAATGACACTGGGTTTTTGTGCGTAAAAACCCCAATGGGAAGAAATCCAATCAACCGGGATGAAAACCACGGAGACTTTCGATGTCTCTAGCGAAACAATCCACTATGTTTTAAGCAAAGTACGTACAACTCACTTTGACTTAAGCTCACACTCCTTCACTCTAATAAGACTCAACTCGCTGAACAAAACTAGCTTTACGACCTTCCGTCCAACAGCTCACGACTTTAGACTTACTCCTTGAATTTTATAGAATGATTGCTAGTAGATTAACAACACACCACGAATGCCTTGACCCCTTCAAATTGTGATCGAATCACCATTTTTCTTCAACTCTGAATTTGATGAAAAACAATTAAAATTCTATTTCTCGGAATCTCTAAATCTTCAATTATGCTCCAATTCCAATCAGATAAAGAGCACTATTTCTAAATCACTATTGTGTTTATATGTGTGCTCTCAAAAATAAAATCAGAAAAATCAAGTTCGATTTTATGAATAAAAATATCTCTTAAAGTTGGCTCTCAAATAAAGAAATTTATATGTGAAAGTAATCAAACCCTAAGTGAGAAAACATATATTTATAGACTTTTGAAAAACCTAATTGTACTTGGAAAACAAGCCAATTTCGTTGATGATCGTTAATGTAAAAGTCTAGCTAAAAAGAGTAAACCAAAGCAGACTATAATTGAAATTTTCTTTTTGGTCCGTAAAGTTCAACTAGTTCCATGTAGTTAGACTGCAGAGTGCAACTAGTTCCATGGAGTGGAACTGGTCACTTAACCAGTGAGTTTTTGTAGTTTTGGAATACAACGTGTGCAACCACAGTCGCTCTGAGTTTTTTTGCAAACAAAAGTTTATTGAATCTAACAATGCGACCAATTCCATAGGGCGAAACCGGTTCCGTAATGGCAGCACACTAAACAAATGTTTAAATTTTCTAAGTGCCTAAACACAAAACTCACTAATGATAAAAACAACGTGACCTCACCAACATACATTCTCTAACTTGATGTTCTCAACCGAACCAAAATCGAATGCATTTTGATTGCACATGTTGTTCCGCTTCCGTCATCGAGACTCAAAAATAAAATAAAAATTACAGCTCGACCAAGAACGTTTTGACACCAAAATTTGTCAAATACAAAATTAGTATCTCACAATATCCCCCTTTGGCAATTTTGTGACAAAATCCCTAAGACAACGTACATGTAATCTACCCAAGCAGAAAATGCAAATTACATTGATTGTCCAAAAAAAAATGGGTCTTTGATCATAGAACCTTCATCATGGTAGTAGAGCATATCTTCAATAGAAATAACCTGTAAATCTGCACAATGCTCAAACTACCCGTAAAAGCTTAATAAAGAAATATAATTTCTCCCCCCTCAATTTAAGAAACTTTACCTTCAAATATGCATACTTCTCTCCTTTTTGTTATAAATTGACAAATGAAACATAATAAAGAAAGAAAAGAAAGAATAAGGGAGAATTCACCAAAATAGAGACAAAATATCAGTCATGTAAGAAATATAGCAATAAACACAAAAACATGACGATATATGGCATCAATGAAACAAAAGAGAAATATTCAAAATAACACACGTTCCATTCATAAAACAAATAGACCAACATGCTTAAAATCACACATGATATCTCCCCCTTAAACATGAAATACTTCTTCTCCCTTCTTTTTTTTCGGTAATAAATTGGTAATAAAAAATAATAATAAAAAAAAGAACAAATGAAAACAAAATATCAATGTCCAGCCAAAAATTGAGCTAAAAATTCTCACATGATGAACGTATATGAACAATCTAAATGATAAGCATTAATCACCATCATCAAAAGATCTCTCCTCAATTAGGTATCATCATCATAATAGCATCTAAATATAGACAAGATTATCAAAATATATCCAAAAATATATTCAATAATCAATATCATCAATGTCTATAAAATCTAATCAAATATATCTCAACATCTTTAGATCTCGACATGAGTCAAAAACATAACTATCAAGTCATAAGCCTTAAATTTCTAAGTTCAAAATCCTAAAGATGATATAAGAATTAATTCTCATCATCCAAATTGACTTAATGATTTGACCTATCATTTCATTTTTCACCACAAGAATAAGTCAAAGAATAGACTCAAACGATAGTCAAACTTGGTTAAGGCATTATATCAAACACTAAGAAAACATCAATTCTAACCTCAAGTTTAGAAGACTTCTCCAAATGGTTCAAATCACAAATATGAACACAAATCATCAAATATAAATGAAGAAGATCAAATACTTCAAAGATAATGATTATCCAATCATCCAAATGCAATAAATCGCCCAAAATAAACCAAAACCTCAAGAATTTTCCAAACTCCATCTCGGCCCGCTTGGCTAACGCTTTTGCTTCGTGCTTTTTGCTTTTACCAGTGTACTATAGCAAAACAAAAGCACAATCATTTGAATAGTACCGAAGCATTTCCGAAATTGAGGCCAAAATCGAAAGCATAAAAATAATGCTTTTGTTTACTCCTGCACTGTAGAAAAGTACGGTTAAAAAAAAAAAAAATTCTAAAATGACATTTTTAACTAGCCATTCAATTTTTCAAAGGTTAAACACTTTTTACCAAATATGCTTTCATGTTTTTACTTCCAAAAATTTTGCAACAAATTTACGTTACCAAACAAGTTTCGAAATTATTAGTGTTAAACACACTCTAAAGTAAATACATTGCTTCTGTTTTGGGGGTAAAGCAAAAGTACGAAGCAAAAGCAGTTGCCAAACGGGCCCTCTATCAATCATAATATAGATTTATAGCATCAAAATGCAATGAAAAATCCAAACTTATGATTAATGAAGAAAAACCAGCAATGTTACCATAACAATACATCAAAGATAATGGGAACACATGATAACACATGAAGGTGTCTTGGGTGTGCAATGGTGTGAGCACAATGTGTTCAAACATAACATGCACAAGTGACTTGACTTAAGTCGCACAAAATCTTAAAAGTACGAAAACCACAAAAACGGATCTTTTTGCCCATCAAATCACACGAACACATAAGCACATCAAGGAAAAATACATGATGAGCGTTAAATGTTGCGCATTCGAGTTCTTAAATTTGCATATCATAGTTCTTTAGTAATGCTTATATGGTAGTACATATATCATTTTATTAGTTTCAGTTATTTTCAGGTGTTCATCTTCAAAAGCGGTTAATTCTACTTATTTCGGTCCTTTAATGATGTTTCCAAGGATCGAGGAAGGTATCAGCTTACTTAGGATCGAATTAGTGCTCAAACGGACTAAAAGTAACTTTTCTCAGCATAAAAGTTGAACTTCCATTACCTAGGCAGATTTTCAAATTTTTGTGGAATTGCTAATTTTTTTCCTCTTCTAATGGCCTACTTAGGCTAAACTTCCTCCAAAAGTTGGAGCACGAGTTTAGGGCCTATTTTTTGCTAATATAGGTCATAATTAATACCTATTGTAGGGGGAGAATACACAGGGGAGAGTATTGACGGCTTAGAATAATCTTCCATTATTGACGCTTGAAGAAGGTGATTCCGATCAGATTTGCAGTCCATGGAGATAGTGTCTACAACAATGATGGTGTTTCCGATTAATGTGTCATGTTATCAATGATAAACCACTCGTAATAGAACGAATCCTTGCAGGATAGAGCTATATAGATGGTGTCGAACCTCAAGGACTGTGGTGGAATTGTCAAGTATAAAACTAATTCTGAATTTAATTTGAGAGAAGAATTTGATGTGAGTTTCTATTTCTAGAAACTGAAATTAAAGTAAGCTATGATGTAATAGGTATCAAGAGAAAGAGAACTTAGGGATTGATTTCACCACTAGCCTTATAACATGATCAATCGTATCAATTTCTAGGAAAATTCTTATTTATGTATACTCAAGAACCAAGTGGC